TGGAAGAGAAGAAAAAGCCTGAAAAAAGGAACAAGGTAAGTCAATCCAACAGAAATGCTTCATGAAAGATAACAATAATAAACTGGGATCCATTACAGCACTGCTGTCTTAGGCTGTACAGCGCTTATTCTCTTAATATTTTGTCAAAATTCAGTGTAAAAATATAGTTTTTTTTACATTTTAGTAAACAATAAATGTGAATACTGTATATTACAGATGTAAATATTGAAATATTCGACTGTGCTCACGGTCGTCTGAGCCACCAAACCTCAGCGGCTGTGAGCAGTAATTCTGTAGCTTCAAGCGTGAACAGCAGAGATAAGACAATATCCATTATGAAGTGTAAAAAAAAAATAATAATAAATGTGCGCGATAATGGGCTTCAATTACGAGGATGTTCTCTTTGCTCGTCGAATCACAAACCTCAGTGATTGTCTCAAAGAAAACAGCGATGAAAATAATAACCAGATTTATCACATCTCCGCCTGCCATCACAACTTCTGGGCTTTTTTTGTTGTTTTTTTTTAAAAGCAACACAAAAGACCTGAGGAAAACAAAATGTAAATTGTATTCCTATCAATGTTTCATCAATCACGGCTTGAGCTGCGTTCAGAAGAATCTATAATGAATGAGATGTGTTTCAGATCACAGCCTCTTTCTTCCCAAAGATGATGAAGATGGTTCTGTGGGGAAGATAGTGCAGCCTGTGAAGATGTTTAAAACGAAAAGAAAACACCACAATGCAAAGATGAATTCACTGAATATTCTTTTATTTCTTCCCTGATAACTTTGATGCTAATGGCATCTAAGAGAATTATGACAAATGGATTTTATTCTGTACAACCCCGACAAGCCAGCAAAGTCAAACTGTGCTGCGTTTCTGCATTTCAGTGTGATAATTAAAGTTAAAAAAAGCTGAACGCTGTGAACTTGTGATTCAAAGCTCTGACAGAAACTGATTTCTGAAACATGTCCTGATTTCCAAAAACCTTTGATTCACCGCGTGTCTGAACTCATCAGTTGCTTTGACCTCACAAATCCAGCACATGTGGGGATTTTAACAGTAAACCATCCACTCTGGAGCACAAAACAGTGAACACAAAGAGGCAACGGCGGCCACAAACTCAGTCTAATCTGTCAAAGCCCTGGACGTTTGTGCGACAACTGTTTTTCATCTCGGAATAAAAAGGGGAACTTGCAGATCTGCACAGACTGATTTATTAGAGGAGCCCATTATGCGGCGCCCTGGTGACCCCGCTGCTGCTTTCTGACCACAATTAGAGTCTATAAACGCAGCGGCCAAGTATTATTTTCATTTAATGAAGTCGACCACTGTTCAATTAATTTGGGGCTTCGCGTCTCAGAATCCCGCTGCAAGAAAGAGACGCTGAGAAAGAGTAAGATGTCGGGAGGAAACGCTGGATTTAAAAAGGACTTTAACTTTGATAATATCATTATGATTAAATGTCTGTCTTATAGTAACACCTGCAAAGGCTAAGTGTCTGTTTAAACTGTTTCTGGTTGTTGAAATGTCGTCTTCCTACTTGCATGCTGGTTATAAAGAGACACCTCCTAATGCTATTTGAATTGTTGAAACCAAATGTTTATGCTCCATATTTGTAGTTTTCTGCCCAAAATTCACTCGGAAACACAGTTCAGGGCAACAGAATGAAGGATTTTTGTATTAAGACTAGTGCTGCTTGCATCGTAACATGGATAAAACACAGCCTGTAATGTGTTTAATAAGAAAAATAATTTGATATATACTCTGCAGGCAAACATCTGATCAATCAGATCTGTGACGCCATGATGTCAGAGCAGGAACGAGGAAGAAAAAGAGGGTTTTTGTTGAGTTTAGTAGAAAATAGTTTATAATTTTAACTTCTTATAGTTAGAATGTGTTGTTTAGATGAACTTTTCTGTTGAATTGAGTGCAGTTTGTTTGATTCACTCTTTGTTCAGAGCGTATTCTGGCATTTGGAGTCGATGTTAGCAGGAGTGCTTCACCTACATTGGTAGTTTTGAAGAAGCATGTGTGGCACAGGGTTGTAGGGTGACTGACATGGTGTGTGTTGGCTGTACTGGTAACACCTCTGAGATAGTCGAGGTATCCATCCTGTATTCTGATGTCCTGCTCAATGCCTGTAGTGTTGTTTGTCCCTGGCAGTGCTGCCCTAGTTGTCCAGTGACAGCGGCAATGATATCCAGCTCTCTAACGTGGCTCCTTTTCCTGTCATTTTAAAGCAGAAAGACACTGTACAGCTTACAGCGATCAACTTCAGCATTTGTTTATTTATCACAGCATCGATGCAATCACACACTGCAGCTGGAAATGATTTGATTTCTGCAACTCTGAAACAGCAGCGGTGAATAAACTTTGATTTTTCAACATTCGGAGTAATTTCCACCCACTTTTATTTACTTCGCGTCACTCCAACTACTTAAACTTGTCAGCGATTAAATTACACGTTGAAACCATCTTTTCTCACCGGCTGCCTGTTTCAACAAACACATAGAAAGCAACCTTTCCAAGACAACTATGTGACAGACAACATGGAACAGGAAGAGACGCGCAACGAGCTGCGACAACAACAAGCACTGAGTGAAGATAGAAAGATTTAAACGCGCATTTAAGCATCTTTGGAGTCCAAACATGAACTGCAACCAGAAAATGCAAAAACTGGAAACTTTACTGGGAGGATCAAACTGCAATAAAATCCATTTTAAAAGACATTCAGAACAAAAATACAAGAGATCAACAGAGAAAACTCGACTTTTTTCATTTTAAATCTGAGCAATCGCTGCTAAACAGAACCACACAGGTCCATAAAACCTGTGTAATCGCATGAGGTCATTGTGTTAATATCTATACAACTGCGGTGATATGTGAGAATGCTGCTAAACAGGAACACAAACAAAGCACTTCAAATATCTGAAGCGAAATTGGAGCCTTTTGGCTGGTAAAAAGGCCATTTTTGTTTATTTTGGAATCAATCCAAGTGGAAAAACCAGCAATCAGATGTTTTTCTCTCCCAAACCTTCTGACGTTGTCGTGACGGCTGTTTAACCAGTCGAGCCTCAGTGAGGCTGAAATCACATAAAATCTAATCTGACTGCACTCCAAGCATTCATTCATCTTAATTCTGCAGCCACGCTATCAGTCAAACGAGTTAAAATGCTTCTTTTTTTTTTTCTTTTTACACTTTTTTTTTACTTATTTTATTGCTCAAGAATCATGTTTTTTTTCTCTCTGTCTCACTTTTAACACACTTAAAAAGCTCGCAGATAGCGGTGCTGATCAAACACCGGCACAGACAAACTATATTTTTCATTTTAACACCACTATTATCTGAGCAGCTCAGAGGAAGAGCTGTGAGGAAAATGAGAAAAGTGATGCAGGTTGTTCAAACACAAAGACTGGTTTTTTTGTTTTGGGTTTTTGTTGTGAGTTACATCGAGCAGAAATTTAATGTTAAAAAAAAAAGGTGCTTTAGAGTTTGATTTCATACTCAAGCAGCACCTGAGTGAAGATCTGTGAACTGGCCCGGTCCGGCTGCTTTTCCAGCCAGGACCAAACCAAGTTCAGTAGTGTGAAGAAGAGTTGTTTAAAAGGTGAAGCAGGAAAATTCATCATTTTTATAAACCTGTTACATCAGCAGGCGATATTTCATGTCATTTCCCTGTAATGAGTCACGCTGTCAGCCTGCACTTAGAAGAATCCAGTCCCATCAGACGCTTTCCTTCCCCCCCCAAAAAAATTAAAAATATCCAGCAGCTGCTCCTGCAAGAAGTGCCTTGAAACATCTGATTATCATCTGGAGAGCAGCAACAGCACACGTCTGCTGTCACATTTCTTGGCATTTAATTGTCTTGAAGCCTCACACGCCCCCTCCGGGAGAGCTGCACTCCGATGTTTAACCAAGTCTAATTATCGCAGAGGTAAATGTTCGCTGAAGGTCCTTCGCCGCCTCGAAAAAATCGGCCTGGTCAGTAAAAATGCGTAGGAGGCGGCAGGAAGACGTCCAAGAGGGTTTAATCGCTCCAACAGTGGCAGCCTGATCGGCCACATGTCATTAATCTTCCTGCTGCAGCTCCTCACTCAAACATTTCGTGGTGTTTTCCCGCCCCGACCACACCTCTCTAGGCAGTGGAGTTGAAACGTTTCATGACAGTTTTGCCTCCTTTTTTTTTCCCCTCCAAAGCTCTGAAAAAGGTCCTCAGACATGCACGGAGGAGATCCCAGAAAGTGCTTCTCTCTGCTTCGGAGGTGACAGGAGCAGCTCAGTGGCCATTAGACGGGGCAGCAGAGTGTGCTGAACGAAAACTCTGAAGGAGACAAACATTTAAAGGGAGAAATGTGAGAGTTTCAAGTGGGGAATTTAATTTCATTTACTCCTCAGCGACAGCCGCAGTGGAAGTCTGCGTTGGGGTCCATGAGCAGCTTCTTGCGGTCCACGTGCAGACAGTCTATGTGGTACCAGGCGTCGCACACGTCGCACTGGATCCACTGCACCGTGTCCTGCTGCGGCAGCCGGCACCGCGGCGCCGCGCACGGCTCCACCGACCCCACCGCCGCCGCCTCCTCCTCCTCCTCGTCGTCCTCGTCTTCGGAGGAGGAAGATGAGGAGCCGGAGGAGGAGGAGGAGGCCGAGGAGGTGGAGGAGGAGGACGAGGAGGATGGGGAGGGCAGGGAGGGCTGGGGAGGCGGAGGGTGTTTCCTGGGCCGGCCTCGTCGCTTGCTTCAGTCGGTTAAAGACGGAAACAAAAAAAAAAACAGGAAGAAGAGAAAAGAGGTGAGTTTAAGAGAAAGCGACGAGAAGAGGACTAGCTTTTGTTTAAAGCTGCTGCGTAGAACTTCTGTCTCCCCCTTCTGGCAGGGACGGTAATTACACAAAAGTGTTGTTTTCGCTTTCTTATTTAATATCTTGTGGGAAAAACGCTCATTATTGGTGAGTCTTGTCCTTTTTTGTTGCAGTCAGGTTTTATTTTTATCAACATTTCACTTTGTTGCCTAGTAGATTTAAATTTGTCGAGCAAAGCAAAGGTGTGTTGTCATTCTGGCACAAGAACTGTGTATTAAGCGTCTCTGTGAGGTTTTCACACCAACATTGTTGCTGAAATGTGGGAAAATGCTTCAAATTCCTTCACACAAATCAAGAACTGCTGCTTGTGCGTGTCTGTCAATGTGACGCTCAGCCACACTTGAAGGTTATACAGAAACGTTAGCAGGTTTGACCCAGTAAAGATTACCGATTGACTTGTACGATAAGCGACCACAATCCCACGTGCAGTCGACCCGTTTAGTCAGATTAACGGAACACAACACAGGTGTGAAGGAGGGTTTAGACTGTAAGCTTCCTTTTAAAGCAGAGTTTTTTTTCCTTCTTCTGGAGCATCAACAACTTTTCTTGGATGCTTTAAAGGTTTTTCCTCACCTCTGGCAAACCAATTATTGCCGGCTGATGTACGACCGGTGCAGTGGTGCAGAAACGCAACCACAGAAACCAGATGTGAAACTCTCACTCTGCGAAATACAGAAAGCTTCTCCTGGAGCCGACAGACTTAATCAGCGCCGTGTGAACTCGTTCGGCTTGAATGAAACGCATAAAAGTCGCATTGATATTTCAGAAAATCTACGTTTTTACTCGACGTTTTCCACCGAACGACATGTTTCGAACAAGTTAGGTGACAAAATGTAAATGTTCACCTGCTGTTTGTTCATAATTAACCTGATTATTTATTTGTATCTTGGCAACAATATAAGCTGCAGAAGCTGTGCAATAAACATTTTTGACACAAAGCTAAGCTGAGATGTTTACCTGAGACTTTGGTTCTACCAGATTTGCAAGCAAAAAAAAAGCTAAATTCTCTAACCCTTTACAGCTGCTGTGTGTAGATTAGAGGTTTTGACTTCAGTGATAGTTTGAGAGATGCAATGATCAGCGTTGCGGCAGGTTTCTTTCCAAGCCTCTCACCTTGCTGGATGATGGAACCTGTTGAACTGCACCCTGCCTCGGTCCTCGGTGCGGATCCTCACCGAGGGCGAGGCCAGGCTGTAGTTCTCTCCTCCCACCACCAGAGGAGAGAACACCGGGGAGCTGTGGGCCCTCCGCCTGCCCCTCTGCGCGACCGGCGAGCTGTGTGCGGGTTTCTGCTGGCGGAAAGCCGCGATGTTGCCGCGAACCACCGTCTTGACCCGGTGCACGGCCTCCGCTTCCTGCTTGTGCACGGCCACGTTGGTGAAGGAGGCCTGCAGGAGGTGGTGGTTGAGCCGGCTGTTGGTCATGGCGCCGTGGAAGCTGCCGATGGTCCGGATGCCCACGGGGAAGGGTTTGGCCTCCAGCGGCCTCCTGACGTCGCCGTGGATCTTAGGCTGCAGCGGAGGAGCAGGAGGAGGCGAGCTGAAACTCTCAGACTCCGACTTGTAGAGCCGCCGCCTCTTCTTCCCCCTCGATCTCTGTCCGTCCTCCACAACCCCGACCAGAGCTGAACAACGACAGAGAGAGAAAACGCTGTAACAGGAGTGGAGGTCACATCTAAACTCCATGTTCCAGCAACATTTACATTTCCAGCACCTTGAAACTGTCGTACTGAGACTGCACAACAGCAAACCACAACATCGACTGCAAATCTGCACAATTTATTCTAATTTTTTAGCCATTTGCTCTTTTCCAAGTGTTTATTTTTAGGGTTTATTTGGTGAAAACAGTGACAAATAAAATGCTTTTGCTTTTTACAAGCACCTTCATTAATTGACTCACATTCAGTGTTAGAAAACATTTCAAAGGTCCTTCATTGTGTCTGCAAATAAATCAAAGCCTCGCCGTTCCCCACAATGTGCATTTCAGTCTTTTAGCTTAAAATACTGCAAAGACGGTTATTTTACTACCGCCATTGTGTTGTGTTGTCATGTTTTGTTTGCCGTGTTTAAATTGTACGTTTGCACTACCTTTTTATATTGAACTACTGTTTCCATATTTGTATTTCTATTATTACTTTATCCTATTTCTATTTTATTCTTTTTTTTTTGGTCTTATTTTATTTTATCTTATCTTGTTGCACTGCATTCTTTGCACGAGCACTTTAGCTCTGGATCTGGGAAACGCTGTCTCATTTCACTGTGTACTGTACAGCCGTATGTGGTTGAAATGACAATAAAGCCCTTTGAATTGAACTGAATTGAATTGATACAGCAGCTGTAAACACTGTGTATCTCACACTTGTTTACGTTCCATCACCCACTATTGTCCACCTGTATCAGGCGTCAATAACTCTCTATTTATTGTTAATAACTGTCATTTTGCACTAAAACTGGTTCACGTTGAAACAAGCTCTTTCACAGAATCTGCAGATATTGACCTTGTTTTTCTTCTTTTATCTTATTCACCTGATCTCATACACACCTTGTATTTATACTCTGAACCTACATGTTTACATACATACTGCACCTCGTCAGTACTTTATGCACTACGTTTCATTACACTTTTGTATGTGTTCAGCAATGTGGAAAATCCAGATGTGTTCTGTTTTTATAGATCTTCTCTGAAGCTGCCTCTCTCTCTGCCCTCCCTCCCCTCCTTGCCCCCTGCACACACTCTGGACATTAACAACTAAACTGGACTCAAAGCAGCACAAGGACAGCCTGACACTACGCCACTTTACAGCATAATAAGCCAGTTTACTGCACTGTCAATCATTTCATGTTGCGTGATTTGCACTGTTTTCACTGCACATTTGTTTTCTAGATACAAATCCAGTTCAGAACCAAAGTCTTAATATGTGCCTTATGCAGATTCTTCTGTTCCTTTGTGTTTACTTATATTCTTAGCTTATTATACGGTCAGATTGTATATTTTTTAGCCTATTGTATGTTTAAATTGTATATTATTTGGCCTATTATATGGCTAAATTGTATATTTTGTAGCTTATATGTTTATCTTAAATGTTTTTAGTACATTTTTTCAACTGTGTGTGTGTTTTAAATGAGGGTTCGAGAGAACCACAATGTCAGTTCTCTGTATGTGCACACAGAACTGACAATAAAGTAACTTTGACTTCACAAACTATTTTTTGACTACACTTATATATTTGAACATTTCTTATTGTAGTTTAATAAAAACTGCCTGCTTTTGTGAATGCATTGACAGAATTGCTGCTTAATTTTGTTGTACACTGTGTTTTTACACATATCTATATTAGTTAAATACTCGTTCCCCTTCTGCAGCCCGTTGCTTCTGTTTAAGTGCATATGTGCAACACCAGAGTCTAATTCCTGGAAGGTTTTCACATACGTGGCTGATAAAACTGATTTATTTCACCATAACTGCATAAACCCTGGTTGTTCTAAACAGGCTGTTTTGCTGTTCCTGATCTCGACAGGTTTTATTTTACGCCTCCAACTTCACTTCAAATCTGTAACAGCTGACTTAAACCCCATTCCCTTCAAAACTGCAGCTTCTTTTGTTGTCAGAAAGCTTCAAAAGTCAGCAGCGGTGTTTTTAAGGCCCCAGCTGAGCTTTTTTTAAGTTATTTTTTTGACCTTTTTGCCGAGAGAGAGACAGGAAAGTGGGGGAGGAGAATGGGGGAAGGGGTTGCAGCAAAGGGCCATGAGTGGGATTCAAACCCATGGCCGCTGCATCAGAGGCTATAGCTCCTGTACATGGGTCGCCAGCTCAACCAGGTGAGCTAAGGCGGCGGCCCTCAGCTGAGCTTTTTTACCTCCTCGGCTTCTGGGTTCGTCCGAGCTGTCGTCCTCCAGCAGCACCGTGTGGGCCGACTTCCTCCTGCTCCTGGAGGTCACCGGGAGGGATTTGGTCGACGGCGCCGACGCTGCAGAGGAAAACGTGGGAGGCGTGGAGGGAGGGAGCAGCGAGGACAAGCCCACGGCGAGGGGAGGCGAGGAGGAGGCGCCGGGGTCGGACACGGTGCCCTCGTGGCTGTGGCTCCTCCGGAAGGTCCAGGCGCTGCCCTTCATCTTGCTCAGGCTGCCGATGGAGTTGAGGATGACGGTGGCCCGGTTGATGGACAGCTTGGAGAGGTCCAGGTTGGCGGCGACTTTACGGTCCGAGCTGGTCCTGATGCGGTTCTGCAAGTCGGAGGAGAACGTCCCCGCCTAGGAAACAAGATAAATACAATATTTCCAACTGTGCAGTGAGGGCCAAAGTGTGTCAAACTTAACCAGGTGCTCGTATAGGTTGTCTGATGCATTTTCATTTAATGTTTTCCTGCATGGAAGAATTCTGGAGGGTCCAGAGAGGTTTGTTTGAGTCAGAACCAAAATAACAAGAATTGAGAATACATTTTTTTTAGGCATTTTTGTTACCTGGAGTTTCATTTAGCCATTTTTGTTTATGAAATGGTCAGAAACTGCTCACATTTCTGCCAAAAAAGGTAACAGCCTTTAATACTTCTACTATAAATGGACTAATCCTCACTGTGATGTGTGATTATCCACCTTAAAAGTGCACACTGAGGCTGTTTTCCTGCCTCCCCAGACTTCAGCGAGATTTTAATTAAAGCACAAAAATATGACAGCACCGAATTCTGAAAATGGCACTTAGTGTGAGCGAGCTTCCATGTTTCCCAGGTAAAATCTTTTGGGGTTGTTTTTTTTTTTTAAAGTCTTCCAGCTATTGTGACACGAGTCAAAAGGTTTTTCTCCCCCGTCGCAATTTTGCCGACATTCTGAATACCATTATTTCACCTAATGGGGCCGGAACAATGCCTGCACACGCTGCTGAGGCATGAGAGGGATGGAAATTAAAGATCTGTATTTTAATTAGCGTCTGCAAACTGCATGAAAACAAACAAAGTGTTGGTTCTCCTCTCGTTACTTTCCGACTCCCCCCAACCCGTCCGGTGATTCTACTGAAGACTCACAAATGTGTAGTTTTAAAAACAGCTCAGCCAAACAGTCGGTCACTGGGAGCAAATAATATTCAAACAGCAGGAAATAAAGTGGATTTGTTGCGGACTGGTTTCAGCAGGAGATTAATACACATTAGGTTCCCTGCTGGGTATTTACACCACAGATCTAAACTCAGTGTCATTATCCCAACTTCCATTTCGTCTCACAGCCACTAAATACAATAATTTATGATCTCAGACTGTGTGAAAAGTCTAAACTAGAGGACAGAGATCAGCGGGTTAGTGAGGCATGTTGAGCTTAAAGTCAGAGTTTTTCGTGTCACAGAGGTCCTTTAACCTGCTACATCACCATGGTAACTGATGCTGCACAGCTAACCTGCTCTGGATGAGGTTCTGCTGAGAATTTATGATTTAAATCAGCTGTATGAAGCTAGTCTCCCTTTCACCAATTAGTCTCCTGGTGATATTCTCTGAGGGAAACAGATTCCCAGCTGAGGTGCTTCTTGTTTATTCCACTAAACGAAGCCGTGCAGTTACAGCGTGCAAACTGACACCAGAACCTGCGCTTGGTCATTTGATGATGCAGAAAATGCAAAAAGATGTTTTTGTTCTTGGTTCTGATTTGACCGTTTTACACTGCAGGTGGTGCAGCTAATAGAAGACCTATCAGGAAATGGATCAGTCGACTGGTATCAATCAGAGAGAATATTCGATCAATAGCATTCATTTCACATTGACTTTGAAAAAACTAAACATCCACATACAGTCGTCCTCAAATGTATTCATACCCCCTCATTAAAGAAGGAAAAAAACAGCTGAAACAAGTTGAAATTGACAAAAATAATAATAAATAAAAATTTTATGAAAATCATGACATTGGTTTTGAGTTGTGGTTCAACAGAAATATTAAATAAAAAACAAAAACAAGCAATATGGGACCCGTAAACTAATATTTAGTTGAACAACCCTTTGAGCCAATCACTGCCATCAAGTGTTTTCTGTAACTCAGTCAGACTTCTACACCTGTTGAGTGCTCTAACTTGTTCGGGACAGTTTTTTTTGTTTTTTTTTTATTCTTTTCAACCACAATTCAAAAGCAGCGTCTTATTTCACTAAATTATAATTTAGCAAATTTTTATTTATTATTACTTTTTTCAGTTTCTAGTTATTTGAGTGACTGTTGTGAATTTTGCCTTTTTTTAATGGAAGGACATGAATACATGTGAGGACGACTGTATCCGTCATTATGGGTCAGTGTCAGACCTAAATATACTTCTTCCATATCGTGTTTAAATGTATTTGCAGTGAAACAGCTCCTAATGTGCAGCTGTTCATTAGAAATAAGGAGCCGATTAACAGTTTTCTACCAGCATTCCTCTCATTTGCAGCTTTTCTTACTGTATTAAATATGTTATATTTTTCAGAGCTCTCCATTATATCAACTTGTTCCTCTTGACCTAAGCAGGCAGCACACATTGGGTCGGTTTTGTGCAAAAGACTTGTTTTTATGCTAAAATGTAAAGAGTCTAAAGAAGAAAACCTGGTTCATAAAGGAAGCTGGGAACCGCCGTCGTAATACCCGATATCTCTGCTTGGGATTTTTAGGATTTATCGAGCCAGCTAACACAAAAAAGCCCGGCTAGCGTCTTAATACATCCCTCAGAAGTGTTGTATTTGTTAATGCAGCAGAGAGAAAAAAATGCAGACTGGTCCTTTAACCCCAAACTTAATCAGATAAGCAAGTCTTCAATATCTTTACTGTCTTCAATCGTGTTGTATATAAAGCATCTGTGTTGGTAAATTAGACAGAAAGAGTCAATTATGTCTCGTTGAACAACTTATTACCTTTGGAATAGTGATGGCATCGAAGTCCAGCGGGCGAACTTTCACCTTCTGGAAGAAGAAGTAGAACTCGGGGCCTCCTGCCGCCGACTGGCCGCCGAAGCTCAGCGTGTCTCCGTCCGAAAGCTCCCACTGGAGGCCCGGCTGGAGGCGCACCTCGTTCACCCACGTTCCTGTCGGCACACGAGCAACCAGAGGTGACCAAAGGCTCCTCCACACACTGCCGGCGCTGAGCTTTCCTCACAGATAGACGCCGTGACACTCATCAGGTCACGCCGACATGTAAGCGGTGAGAAACTCTCCAAAGTCACACAAACAAGCAGCAATTTTGCGGTTGAGGGCAGCGTCACCCGGAGGCCCGATAATCGCACAACTTTTTTTTAATATACGGCCGTCTGACACACGGCGAGGAATAAATCAAGCAAGCAGAGCCCCAGAATGAAGTCATTTGTTGACTATCAATGTGTTTACAGCTTCCAGAGTTCAGGGGAAAATGTAAAACAGTCTGTGAAATGGACCTAAAACCGCGGCGCTGGAAGGCTACAAGGCAATCAAACGGCCATGACAGCGCGGCGCCGAATGAGAGATGCGGGACGAATACTAAAAATGTAGGTTTAATGGCAAAAAAAAAAGAAAAATGAAAAATGGGTGAAACAGACTGTGAAATTACTTGAAAAATTAGGCGGTGAGGGACGGCGTGGTGTAGATCCTCAGACCGTCTGAGTGAAGACTTTCACTCTCCATCTCCTGCCTCACACCTCCTACATCCTCTTCTCCTGCACTTCAGATTAAACGGAGGTGAACACGATGCCGTGACACCAGCATGAACGCATCACATCCTCTGATATTAGACCTGAATTCAACTAGATTCTTAATTTGGCTGATTTAAACGCGTCACTCGTTAACCTGCTTATTGTCTGAACTTTGAGTTGACTTCACAGCCTCGACTCTGGATGAGTTAAACTTCCTCAGCACCGACATGTTTCGGATGTTTCAACACTTTTATTATCATGTCATCCTTGTATTTCTTTATATTGAGGCTGCAGCTGGTGATTCTTTATCCCTACTGATTATTTTCTATATTAACTGGGGGGATTTAGTTAACAAATTAGTGAGAAACATCCAGTTTCCTAAAACCCGACGTGACATTTTCAAATCCTTGGTGTTTATAAAACAATCTCCAAATACATTTAATTTACAAAGAAAAACCTCAAGCTTAGTAGAATTAAGAAATGCTTCACAATTTGATTAATCAGCAGGTTAATAAATACTAATCAGCTAATTTTCCGTCTTAAAACTGAGTCATTAATCAGCTGCTTTGCTCTGAATGTATTTACTGCAGCATAAAGACCGACTCCTCGTCTCTCCGTTTAGGACACCACTCGTCTGATAACACCACAGCACACATTCATATACTCTGACATTTTAATAACAGAAAGGTAATAATTTGGATCTCAGATATGCAGGTAATAAAGCAAAAGAAAGGAACTTAATAAGTGTCGATGCATCATGCAGGGTCTCGCTGAAAGGTGGGAAAATGCTGATAAAACGCTTTGAATAACCGTCGGTGGTTTCGTTTGCTCGTCACCGCCGTCACTCAGAACCGTTTTAATACATTTACTTTTAGGTTTGAGGTTCAAATACGGCACCGTTTAAGGATTGTTTCCACTCTAGGTGGTACTGTTCTCGGCTGATCGATGAGTTGTTTAGTCTATAAATATGCTGATCAGTGTTTCCCAAAGCTGATCACTCAAAGCAATTATCAAAATAGTTGATGATTATTTTAATAGCCGTCAACTAATCGATTCATCTACTTGTTCTTTAGCATAAAAAGTGTCAGAAAATGGTGCAAAAAGGGTTTAAAGTCTAAGACGACAAATGTCTTGTTTACTGGAGGAAAAAGAAACTGGAAAATAATCAACTTTAAGAAGCTTGAATCAGAGAATTTAGATTTTTATTCTCTTTAAAAGAAATTATTTGATTTGGTAAATACTTGACAATATATTTAACAGCTGACACCAAATCAGTTTTATCTATGAGGTGGTTGGTCGATAAAATGTGTTTCCTAAAGTCCAAGATGACAAATGTTGTGTTTTGTCCACAATTCAATTCTATGAAGTTGGAATCAGACTTTTGTGTTTTTTTTGTTATTTTGTCATTAAAATAACGACTTAAAACAACGAAAGGATTATTAAAATATCAAGAAATTAAAAAAATATATAAGAAAAACTGTGAAAAATGTCACTCAGCGTTTCCTAAAGTCCATAACTCTATCCTCAAATGTCTTGTTTTGTCCACAAAGATGTTCAGTTTACTGTCATAGAAGGTGAAAGGAACCAGAAAATGTTCAATTCTATAAAGCTGGAATCAGAGAATTTTGATTTTGTCCTTAAAATAACTACAAAAAAAACAATGAATTGATTATTAAAATATCAGGAAAGTGAATAAAATATCAGTAAAATTGTGAAAATTGCCAAAAATAATGTCCTTAAATGTCTTGTTTTGTCTAAAATCCAAAAATAAAATTTAAAAAATTGCCTTCTTTTCTTTAAAAAATTAGTCAAACTAATTAATCGATTATGAAAATAGTTGACGATTAATTTATAAAATGACAACTAATCAATTAATCTATTAGTTTTTCATGCATACAACGTAAATAAACTGAAAAACGCTTGAAATATGTTCAGTTTACTGTCATAGAAGAGACAAATAAACTACAAAATATTCCATTTTAAGGAGCTGGAATCGTTTTAATTAACTATTAACTGCAGCTTGTTTTTTGTGCGGATTACTAATTTCTCATCGTGACTCTGAAGCATTTAGATGAAATGAAACGTTCTCCAGGAGGAGATGAGTTTCTGACAGAAGCTTCAGCTTAAAGTGGGACTGGATGGTCGGTTAGTGGAGCTCAGGTGATCAGCCGGTAAATCAGAACAGCACATCAAGAAATATAAGATTCTGTGAGTTAAATTTGTGAAGTTATTCAGCGTAACATTTCTGTTCCTGCTCATACTTGGTTTAATTTACACAAGTGATGAATCAGGTCTTTCACTTCATGTCGAGTCAAAGTGTGTGAAAACTTGTGTTTCTCATAGATGTGCTGATGTTGTTGTAAGCGGGCGTGGCTTCACCTCTTCCACAATGACTGTTCACGGTGAGCTGTTTTAAGTTCAGTCATCTCAGAAACAAACAAAATAAAAACGTGAGTTCACTGTAATTTAATGTTATTTATCTGCAGGAGAAAAGGCTGCAGCTTCAGGACCCCAAGTCTGGGATCTCAGTCTGGAACACAACTCAATCTGATATAGTGAACAAGTTACAGTTTATAATGTGTATTACTCCCAAAATACTACTTTATCTCCAAGTACTTTCACATTTAAAGGTTTATTCCCCCAAATAGTACTTCCATAATGAATAACTTGTGGTTTTTGTTTTTTATACCATCCAAAACACTACGTTCTGTCTGAGAACTTATAGTTTTGAAGTTCCTGCACAAATATTACTTTTCTAATAAATGACTGGTTCTAAAGGTCTGTTCCTTCAAAAACAACACTTTATGAACAAGTACTTTTACAGTTAAAGGTTTATTCCACCCAAATAGTACTTTTATAATGAATAACTTTTTTTTTTTAAGTTTTATTCCACCAAAATACTTGTTTATGTCCAAGTACTCTCAAATTTAAAGGTTTATTCCTATCAAATAGTACTTCTCTACTGAATCACTTACGGGTTTTTTTTTTTATACCATCCAAAACACTACGTTCTGTCCGAGAACTTGTAGTTTTGAAGTTTTTTTTTAACCACACAAATAGTACTTTTCTCATGAATGACTTATGGTTTAAAGGTTAGGTCCTTCAAAAATACTACTTTATGACCAAGTATTTTTACATTTAAAGGTTTATTCCACCCAAATAGTACTTCTATAATGAATAACTTGTGGTTTTAAAGTTTTATTCCACCCAAAATACTTGTTTATGTCCAAGTACTCTTACATTTAAAGGTTTACTCCTATCAAATAGTACGTCTCTACTGAATAACTTGAGGTTTTAAAAGGTTTTTTCTTCCAAAATACTACTTTATGTCCAAGTACTTTTACTTTTAAAGGTTTATTCCATCAAAACACTACTTTTCTAATGAATGACTTGGGGTTTTAAAGATATATTCCACCCAAAACACAACTTTCTGTCCAAGTATTTATAGTTTGAAAGGTTCCACATAAATAATACTTTTCTAACAAATGACTAATGGTTTTAAAAGGTTTGTTCCTTCCTAATTACTACTTTATGACCAAGTACTTTTACATTTAAAGGTTTATTCCACACAAAATTCAACTTTATGACCTCATATTTCTACATTTAAAGGTTTATTCCATCCAATACATTACTTTTTGTCCATGTACTTGGATGGTGAGGTGCAGTCAGACCATTGTGTACCACAGAACAGGCTGGCAAAGTACTTTTATGTCCAAGTGTTTCAAATCTGAAGGTATATATCCCCCCAATTGTACTTTTCTAATTAATGACTTGTGGTTTTTAAAGGTTTATACTACCCCAAAACACTACCCTATGTCAAAATACTTTTACAATTTAAGGTCTGTTTCATACAAATAGTACTTTTCTAATGAATTACTTTGGGTTTTTGAGGTTTATATCATCTAAAATATTAATTTCTTATAGTTTTAAAGTTTAATTTCACCCAAATAGCACTTCTCTGATGAATGACTTGTGGTTTTAAAGGTTATTTCCACCCAAAATACGAGTTTATGTTCAAGTATTTGTCGTTTTAAAAGGTTTATTCCACACAAATAGTGCTTTCTAACTAACAGGCTATGGCTAACAACTTTTTCTTCACCCAACACTGTACACAGTTGTAATTTAGCCAGTGTGAAGTGTGTAAACAAGGTGATGCCACATTATCACACCCAAATACAAGCTCATCAGAAACATGGATCCTGGAAATGTAGCCTTGTGTTCAACTAGAAAATAGCCAAACTCTCTCAAATCAGAAAACATTCCTTGATGCGGACACTGTGATGATGCAGGATGTGTTTGTGTGGTGTCGGGCCTTTTCTCACCGTGGCTGCTCCGGTCCTTGACGTGGACCGTCCAGCCCTCCTCCTGCAGCGCCGGCTCGCCTCCGCCCGCCTCCCTCTCGGCGTGCAGCTCGGCGTGGATGCGGGACACCGAGGTCGAGTCCAGCGTGACATCACACAGCTCCGCCGCTCGGCCCAGACGGAACACGGAGCGGCTCAGCGCCGGCCGGAACGTGTACAGGTCCCGCGCCGAGTCGCCCGAAGACGACCCGATCCGGAGCAGCTGGAAGCACGGCTGCACCCCGGACAGCATGACTGAAGGGGCTGACTGTCTGCCACCGCCCGGCTGACTCCCCCTCACCCGCAGGCCTCCCTCAATCTGTGAGCGGCCCTGAGTTACAGGAGGCCGTGACCCATCTTCACATACAAGTCTGTGCTAGTAAACTGACCAGAGAGCGTTGACATAAAGCTACACTGAAGGATAAAATATTCCAAACACAGTGTGAAGGTTACAGACAGGTGCAGCAGCTTAGAGCAACAGGTGTCTGCATTAGTGTGGAAAGCCTCCGTCTTATTGTGTCCTGCTGTGCATGCATGAATAAATAATGAGCGCACGGAGCACTGTACGAGCTGCTCAAGTGTGGAAATGAGCTCCCGCACTCTGTTATGAGCCCCAGCTCAAACAGACCGAATCCCCCGTGGAGTGGAGGCAATAAGGGCTGCAGAACACAGAGGCGCTGCAGTGTGGGCTGGATGTGAGCCGCTGCAGTAAACATTAAAACTGTGACAAGCAAACCTGCTGAAAAGCCTGACAGCCGTGACTTTTAGCTCCACGGCTGACGTTTAATATTTGCAGGTTTGCACAGCTGTCAACCGAGGCGAGGCAGATTACAATCCCAGCCTCCTGACATCAGCTGACACCAGGCGGCTCACAGGTGGAGAAGCCTGACAGGGTGGAACAGCTGAGGACTGTCTGATCTGCAGGGAAACAAGAGGAGAGGCACTCAGACACACAGCAAAAGTTTAATTGCTCTGCTTTGGAAAACAGCTTCTAATTTATAAATGGTATTTTTTTGACACCTTAAAGCATTAAAACACTTTTTTTTTGTCACTTTATCTCAGGCTGCAGTTAAATTAACCCAAAGTGAAGCAGAAACACACGCACGCTGGGTTTCGTGCACCAACACTGTCAGTTTGACTCTGAACTTTGAGCAGCTGCAGCCTGGATCAGCTGCTGCTCTGACAAATCATGGCAGCACAAAGAAAAGAGAAGCAGCACAATGTTCAACTGTCAATTAAAACTTCCGCTTCTGTGCCAAAATCTGCGCAAATCCTCGCGTAAAGTGCGTTTTTAATCGACCAGAGGCGGATTATCGGTGAAAACGAGAAGGATCGGAGCAGCGAGATCCCCTCGACATGGTTTTAGCCTGTCGGTCACGGCTAGCTGTCGTTAGTTCCCTGAACAAGTCAAAGCTGCGACTTTCCGCTGCGACGCAGCTGCGCGTAAACTTGGAGACTTTGGCTCCTCGGAGCGGTCAGAAACAAAAAACTGCTCAAGCTGCAGGTTTAACTCACTAACCGGAGCTGAAGGAGAGTTTTTTCGCCGTGTTTTGTCTCCGTTGTCACCGTGCTTCTCTGCGGCTCTTCTCCGGGAGGAAGTGCTTTGAAATTTGGCGCGCCAGTCCCGCAGCTTCCTTGCGCGAGAAGCGGCGTCACCTCCGGCTCCGCCCCCAACCGAGCGACCGGCGCGGCTCCAGGGCGGCTTGGGCAGAGACAGGAGCCGGAGCGGTGCCAAAACACTGATCATCCGCCAAAAATGGATCCACAAAGACTCTATCCCCACGTCTGTGTATTATCCTACCTGCTCTGTGCAATGCCAGATAACACATAGTGCTGTTTAAATATCCTTAAAGGACCAGTCCAACTAAAAAAAACTGTTTCCTAGGAGTCAAAAAGTGACTGCAGCTCCTACATTGTGACTGAAACGTTGTTAAAGCACCAAAATGACATGATTTAATTCATTAGGGTTATATTTAAAGATTACAGCCCAGAGGATGATTGTAAAGGATTGTATTTCTTTATTTAATCTACAAGACAAATCAAGTTAATTACACTTTTAACAAGGATTTTAGATTTTAAAATATGAAAACTAAAATATTACCTATAATCCTGGTAAATGTCATTTCTGATTGAACAGCAAACATGTTTTTGTTTTAATTTTTTTTGTCACAATTATTCTGCTATGAGAAAGCCTGATAGAGGTGATCTTTGGCAGTAGCCACAGACACATTGTTGGGTGTATTTGCATGTTCCTCACTGTCTGGCCCAGATAACAGCAGCTGGATATAAACTGGGCGATGCTGCTTAACCTTCAAGTCACTGAGGTCATTTATTTGATATTTTGAATTAGAAAATGTCTGAAAAATCCACTTCTTTGCCAATTTGTCATAGTTTTCTGCAGGAATTGACCCATTGTTGTGACACATTTAACATTATAAACTCAGGTTTTCTCAAGTGTAAGAAAGCGGTTGGGTCTTACATGCACTGCATTTGGAAATGTCCTAGAATGTTTAAATTCTGGCAAAAAGTCTCACAGGAAATTGACTCAGTTTTTAATAAGAAAATAGAAATAAATCCTGGTTTGTTTCTGGTAAATCTTCCCAACGAGGGCGGCTCTCGTTGACAAGGACCCAGCAAAAATTGCGGCTTCTCTTGGCAAGAAGATGCATTTTATTCCAGTGGATTAAGCCCAGACCCCCAACTAGTAATCAGTGGTGTACAGAAGTCTTTAAAGTCTTGCTTATGGAACATCTAAGTTCAGTTCTGATGGGAAATGAGAGGATTTTTGATAAAGTTTGGGCGCCCCTCCTAAACTGTCTCCCAGATTGTACAGCAGGCCTCGTGCATAGGGGGCGTAGCGATGTGGTCTGGCGTCCCTCTTGTACTCCTGTATCCTCATAATGCCCTCTGCTGGGTTAATATAGTTCCTTATAGTCCTTTGCTTTGGTTGTCTCTCTCTGAGCCACTGGACTTATACAAGCTCTGAGACCTCTCTGTGGTGTCCTCTGTAGAGCTGCAGTTAATACGTGAATGTTCTGAACACTGTGCTGCTATTATGTGTTGTTTTAAATATTTAGTCTCTTTTTAACCCCAAATGATCTGTAACATGCTCAAAAAAAACATTCTAAACCCAGGTTTTCTCGTAATTCTCCACTTTTAACCATTAAACTTCTGCAGCGAATCGTGGCTAATAAACGTAGATTTACTGCTGCAGAGGACACTTAAAGCTCAAAGTGATGATAAAAACAGCTCAGCTGATGGAGATGAGACGGCGTCAGACAATAAAGATCATATTTCTGAGCTGTCGGTACATCTTGAGGCATCTAGCGCAGCAACAGGAAAACCCTTACGTGTATGTGCAGCCTGCAACAAGGCAGAGTTTCCAGAAAACAAGTGGTACGTGACGACTGTGTGCAACCAAACATGAAGCTGTAGCTCTACTGTCACGTGTTTTCAACTATTTAATCATCATGCATCGAGAGTTTTCTAATGTTTCAAGTAGTTTTTAATATCACACATGTACAAACAAGATGGCTGCTCGGAAGAGTGAAGAAACACTCAGATGATTTCATACTTATTTGTTGTTGATCAAAGTTTTACAGATTCACCAAGTCATTTATATTTTGCTGTTAAAATGATAAAAACACAAATAACTCAAACGTACCTTCATTTTCTTTAAATGTAGTTTTTTTCCAGCATCATTGAAACAAATAAAATTAGCTTTGCAGGAGCTAACGATCAAGAATCGTCTAAATCAATGTGTGTATGAATAAATAATATAAATCAGAACACCTGCTCCAGCTAGAATGATTGGTAGCACTGCAGTCGTATTCAATCATCATGTGTGAATATATACTTGTTGGTAAAATGACATTAAGTCCAAGAATTAACTGTGAAGATCCATTCGAGGTAGCACCATAAATATCATTTCAAAGCTTTACACACAAAACCAGCTGTTGCCTAAACAAGACATTTATCATCTCGGTCTTTTGGGAGACACTCGTCAACATTTTTCAGCGTTTTCAGACATTTTATAGAACAAACAACTAATGGAGACAATAAATGACGATGAAAGCAGATGTTAGTGACAGCTCTGGTTGTTTCTGGTGTTTCGCCTGCATGCCTTGAATAACTCCAAAGTCTCTGTTTAGACTGTGATGAACGTAGTTTACAGATGGGTTTTCATTTATAATGTGATGTAAATAAATAAAAATTAAATCATAATTTTATAAATCCCTTATGCAATCATCCTGTGGACGACAATCTTTAAATATAACGATTGAAATCACGTCATTTGGATGCATTAAAACATTTCAGTCACAATGTAAAGGCTGTAGTCACCTTTTGTCCTGGAAATTCAAACATTTTTGATTTTAAACCTTATATATTTCGACTCTTGTCCTGCTCAGCTCCAAATTCATTCTGCAGCAGGACAACAAACCCAAGCAGTTAGTTCTTAAGGAGCTGAAATCCGCCACCAGAAGAACACAGAGTCCTGCAGCAGATGGTTTGGCCCCCTCAGCGTTCTGAACCAGTCTGGATTACACGGAGAGACGCAAGACAGCCTGAATGCACAGAAGAACTGTGACAAGTTCTGCAGAATGTTGGAACAACCCATCTGCCAGATACCCTGAAAACTTACACAAGTGATCGGTTTCTGATGCATGTCTTAGATTTAATGTGAGCACAGATGAATCTGAAAAACAGCCTGTTTGGCTGAAATAATATTCTGATGTTCTGCACAGTGAAGAAGAAGAAGAAGAAGAAGAAGAAGAAGCACATTGTTGAGAAGAGGACGACTTTAATAACAGCACATTGACACTTCACACTGACGTTATAAAGTCATCCAATTTTAAAACAATTTTTGCTCAATTAATTAAATGTATGATTTGCC